CAAAGGGCACCGAGGGGCCTCGCCGGAGGGCCAGGGAGGGCAGCAGACAGAGGAGCGGGGCTTGGGCGGAAAGTGCCTGAGGGTGACGTGGGGCTTCGAACTCCCCTGCAGCAAGGACAGTGCAGACAGAAGGGACCCCCGCTTTGGGCCAGTGGAGTCCTGCGGGCACACACCTGCTGCGCGCCCGCCGCCGGCCCAGGAGCGTGGCCCGCGGTCTTGTTGCAGCCCCACCGGCCTCCGGATGGGCCCGTCCGCTGTTCTGGGCACCGGGTGGGCCCTAGGAACGAGGCCCCCACGCAGTGCCCCCCTCACCTCCGCTATGTGCAGGACGCGCCAGCAGAGATGCGACCACTTTACGAATCGGCGGGCGTGTCTGAAGGGAACTGGGCGCTCCGTTTGCCGAGTGTCGTGTTTGTGTGTACACATCGAAGCAAGCTCACCGTGGCTGGAGGCAACCCCTCGGTGGCTTATCTTGCACCGTTTCTTGAGCTTCTGGCATCACCTCCTTCTTTTCCACTCCGGTTATTTTTATTTGCCAACTCTCTCTCTTCTTGGTCATTGCTCGTGATTTAGGGAGAGGGAGGGGAAGGCAGTGTTTGCTCTTTTTATCGTACTGCACATGTTGCATTTCAGTCCAGACGGCGACTGGCCCTCCAAACTAGCCGTCTGCCATCTTGAATTCAGAGTCCAAGAGCTTCAAAATTTAAATAGATGAAACAAGTAGAATATACTGGAAATGTTGCAGTCCCAGACAGGTGAAGGACTGAAAATGTGTAGCCACTTCGGAAGGGTTGGTCCTTCCAAGTCCTGGGCAAGTGCGTCCCGGGTCCAGGTACCGTAAGATGACTGTTGGTCGCTGGTGGACAAATCTTGTCAATGGAAGAAAGCTAAGACCCTCAGAGGCAGGCAAAGGCTGTCCTTGAAGTCTCATGCCCTGCCTCGGTAAAATGAAAGAAGAGTGTGCTGGGAGGATTGGACACATTGAGAAAGGAAAGTGGGGATCCCAGGTGCCCACACGAGAGCTCACAGCCAGCCTCAGGGACTATCTCAGCCGTGGTCAATTCCAGAAAGCCGGATTCCACCTGAATTAGGCACCCCCTAAATCCCATCCGTCCTCAGCCCTCTTCTCTTCTCGAAGCCTCGGGGCATTTGCTCCACTGATCTGCCCTCCCTGCTGGCTGTCCCCCCGAGCTGTTCAGGCACAGGGTCCCTGGTCCCTCAGCCGCCTTTGCTCTCACCTCCCCAGGCTCTACCCACTGGGGCTCCTGGGCTCAGCCCAGGACCGTCTCTTCCCTGCTGGTGATCTCGTCCCAGTTACATAAACACTGGTGACACCGGACTCTCCGCGCTGCCCTCGGCTCCGGGCTGGGGTCCCAGCTGCTCGCACCTCCAGTTCAGTGTTCCTCTAAGCCGGGTGGGTTATCGGGGCCGAAGCTGGGGGGCGGCGCTTGAGAATGCGGATCCCTGGGCCCCGCCGGCCCCTGAGTCGGGACCTGTAGGCACAGGTGGGGGCCGGGCATTCGATCACATTCCAGGGGATTGGTCCGCCCTGCAGTGGGCCGACTGCTTCCAGGACTCCTCTCAAACTCGAAGGAAAACCTGGTACAACCATGACAGTCTTTCCACACGATGCTCGGGAAAAAACAGAAACCCAAGCAGTTTATCCCCTGAGCTAAGCTGAAATGAACAGGGCCATCCTCACGAATTCTGGTGCCCGTGATAATACAATCCTGAATATTTCCTGCAAACCGGTACTCCCTGCGTGAAAGCAGTTCTACCCCTAACTTTTGCTGAGCTGATGTACCGAGATAAGTCGTCACCTTTAGGCCTAGGGTAAGTGAGAAGCAGCTCCTTCTCCGTCACAGACCGTTTGTGTTTGTTGAGCTTCCTTGCATTCTACAAACCCAGCATGTCCCCAGCCGGCTGCCCCATCCCTGGTTCTGTGAAGGCGACCCCACTTGGAGTCGACCTTGACCTTGCTGCTTCTCTCTCGGCACCGACCCTCACACCCTCTCAGCCCCTGGAGCTCGCCTCGTCCACGCAGCACCACCTCTCCCCGGATTTCTGCAACAGCCCTCCCCTCTCCTGCTCCCGCCTCTCTGCTCTACGAGAATTCTCCATCGGGGCAGCCGGGGAGCCTGTGACAGTGTGAGTCAGACCAGGGCCCTCCTCGGCTCAGAACCTTCCACTGGCTCCCACATCACTTGGACAAGAGCCCAATGTTCTCTAAGGATCCTGGGGCCCTTCCCTGGCCCCCACCCCGCCCCCTTGCTCCCTGGGCCCGTCACCCTGGGCCTCACCCCTGCCCCTCACCACGCCAGCCCCGCAGCAAGGCAGGGCCCTGCCTTCCGCTCGCCCTCCTCCTGGGAAGGTCTGCCCAGAGGGCCTCAGTCTCTCCCTTACCCCCGGGGCTTAGCCCAGCTGTCCCCTTCCTGGTTTCCACCGGAGCGTCCGCTTCTAGTCCTGTCCTTGCCACGGGCACATGGGCGTGAGGTGCACTTACACTCGTGGATGTTGTCTGTCGTCTGTCTGCCTCCTCAGCAATGTAAGTGCCACGAAGGCAGGACACGGGCCTGCTCTGTGCTCCTTGGTCACCGCTACGTCCCAGCACGAAGAAAAGGGCCCGGGCTGCGTGGTGGTCACAGCCCGAGGGGACCCGGGGAGCAGCTGCGTGGTGAACCCCAGTCTCTCTGGATTCGGTTTTTGTCTTCTTCAGCACATCGACGAATTGTCGGGAACTGCAGTCCGTTCCAGGCGAACGAAACTAGGAGGTTCGCTCACACGACGGTGCCTAAATCCAGGTTCAAAACAGCCTTGACGGGAGGTTCCAGGGCTCAGCTACCACCGCCGGAGGGGCGTTAGCAAAGGGAAATGTCAAGCCCTGCGTGCAGGTTCAGAAAATAAACACGCCTACCCGCTCCAAGCTGTTCTCGGTGACAAGAGCTCAGGGCGAGGCCACGGTCCGAGGCGGCCCAGTGCGGTCGCGTGGGGTGGCGGCCCCGGCCCGGCGGCAGCAGCGGACTCGCCGGGGTGCACGCATGCTGGTGGGCGTCGTGCCCCGCGGGGCCCCGGCAGAGACAGGGCGCTGAGTGAGCGCAAGAGCGCAGCAAGGCCCAGAAACCCCAAAGGCGGGGGAGCTTGGTGCTCTCTGGGAAATTCAGGGTATACACAAGTTTGGCAAGAGCAGCTCGTCGGTCAAGCCCCACAGCAACCCTGAGACACTCCTGTCACCCTCTGCATTGAGCCGAGGCCCGCCTCCCCTCTAGCTTTTCCAGGAGTGGGGCTGGGGTGGCCTCAGGACCTTCGTTACGGGGAGAGTTGAGTGTTCCTCAGAGCGGCCACTGCCTCTCTGAAGGGAGCTCTGAGGACTGAGCTGCCCTGTGGGGGGCGAGGCTGGGCCCCAAGGCCCTGGGGTGCTCGGCCCAGGGCTTGGCTCCTCCCGGCCGCCACAGGGACCTGTGCCCGCTGTCGTCGCCTGCAAGCTTTTCCGATTCACCAGCGGCGCCTGGCCCCGGGGATGGTGAGACCCCGCTGCCTGGGGCAGGCCTTGGAGGGAGCAGCCGTTACAGAGGCTGGGGCTGGGGCCGACCCCACCATCAGGCCCCGAGGCGGGCGATGTGCATGGGGAGTGACCTGGAGCCTGGGGCTGGAAGCAGCCACGGGAGGACCAGCCTGCCCCCGCACCCTGGGCGGCGGGCAGACGTGCATCCACCCACCTCGGACAGGCTGGTCCTGTCTGTACCAGGCGCTGTCGGATGCGCTGTCTTGGGCCACAACCCCTGGGGCTCATGGGACGGGATGAGAATATTTGGTGACGGATGGGTGGGTGGATGGTAGTGGTAACACCAGTGTTCCCAGGGTATCCATGGAAACCCAAGCCCCAGAACCCAGATCCCCTCCTTAGAAGCCTCTCAAGACCCTCTTGCCCAACTTTCTTCTGCTGGCGCCTCCCACCTCCAGACGGGCTGGAGCCCCCCTGCCCTGGCTCTCGGAGGTGGCCTTCGTCAGCTGTCCCAGCTGCAGGGACAGCTGAGCAGGAGACAATGGTGGAGGCAGGTGGAGGCCTTCTCCTCCCCCCGCTCCCGGCTCAGGGCTATAAATACTCAGGATGCAAATGGTAAATGCTCGAGACACTTATCATAAATTATAGGTGGATGATTATGAATCTTTAGGCCATGAGGCCCCTTGGGGATATTTCAGTTCTTTTAAAAAAACCAAAAACTAACCTGATGGGCCGGGAGGGCCCCTTTCACAGTCTGGCTTTCGTCTGGGAGAGGCCGGGGTGCTGGGAAGGAGGACTGAGGGGCAGGTGAGCAGGGGGCATTATGCCCCTTGCAATGAGTCCGTCACAGAGGAAACGACCTGGCCCAGGTCAACGGTGACTCAAGAGCCAGATGAGAGGGAGGGCACCTTTGGCCCTTCTGCTAGGTTGGAATGTTAGCCCATGGGCATTATTACTTTACCAATATTTTTTAACGAGTAGTTTAAGAGACCGGGGATATTCAAGGTGTGTGTTTGTGGGGGGAACTGGTCTGTGCACCTGCCCCACAGCCCTGCTCTGGAGGCAGGTCCCAGCCCACATCTGGCCAGCAGGAAGTCCTGCTTGAAGGGACGCAGCGGGGAAGGGGGGGGTCCGGCGGGGAGCTCGCAGTTGTCCGAGCAGCTCCCACGTCTGCAGAGGCAGGAGGTGCATGCTCCCCACCCCCCCGCCAGTCTGATGGAAACCAGCAGAGTCACCGCGTCCCGTCTCCTCCCCACGACACCGCACAGGGCTAGCTAGGGCTGAGGCATACGGGAAGCGGGTCTACCCTCTGAGCAAACCCTTCTCACCACCCAGTCTCTCATACCACCAGGGCTTCAGGATCCCGTCCAGTAATTAGGCTGCCCGGTCCACTCCGAGGAGGAGAAACAGAGCATCCTAGTTGCCCCGCGTGCCGTCTAAAACCGTTCCCTTCCCCTTTCCCAGAAAGTCCTGAGCAAACACCAGGCACCAGGCCGACTTCTAATTTAATATTATAATAATAAAATCCACGGTGATACAGAACCATGAGCTGCATTTTAAATTCCTCGGGCCACTAATGAGCACTGAACTCCTGCTGGAGCTGTTGTCAGGACAAACACACAGAATCGATGGCTGCAGTGGCCACAACAAATGGAGCGTGGCCTCTGCCCAGCGACAGTGGCCGCCCCACCCGGCGCCGCCCTGACCTTGGTGACCCCCGAGGGCCCCGCCACCTGCATGGGAGGCGGCATCACCATGGGAACACCAAAAGCCAACGCTAATGAGGAGAAACTCCTGGAAGGAGACAAATTTAATTTTCTCTTCCTCTTTTGACACCTTTCTTCCTTGTCCAAAGAAGGTTCTTAGCTGAAGCCCGCAATGGGGTTCACTCCCTCTCCTTCTTACCAAGTGGCCTCGGCACACAGGATGCTCTGCTTTTTATTGCGGATCATACCTTCCTTTTTTTCTTCCGAGTCTCTAGAAAGAAAAAGTGATTCCAATTTTGTTATCTTCTATAAAAAAAAAAAAGAAAGGTGAAGTTGACTGGGTTGGAGCCATCTGCACAACGATTTGACAATTGGGGCGACAGCGTAAGTACTGAGCAATTTTTTGCACAATTCAGAAACTCATGTGTTTTTTTTTTTGACCAAGGGATCAGTCTAACAAACAGATCCCACTCTTGCTGAAAATAATTTCTTTTCCCAACTCTTCTAGGAGTAAAACACTTCTAATGTATTTGTCAGGAATCGACACTTCATTTAATAAGATTAAAAGTGACAATTTGAAGAGCAATTGAGAAGAGTCCCACATTCATCGCGGGCTCGCAGTTCTAACGAGAGTCAGAAGAAGTAAAACAGAAACAGCACTGAGAATATGGGGAACAAGTCTGGGCGGGCGTGCGCGTGCATGTCAAACTATCACACCTGTTTCAGATCTGCAGACGAGCAGGCCGCCAGCCCCGCGCGCACACGGGCAGTGGACGCAGGCCCCACCTGGTGTGCCCGGTGTCACCCCAGCTGGCCCTCCCAGCAGCTGCCAGAAGGCGACGGCTATCCCCCAAATCCTCAGTACAGCTGATTCTTGCCCCCACATCATGATCTAAAGGGAAGGGCAGGGGGCTCTGGCAGTGTTCGAGTTCCTGACCTGGCTGGTAGGCACGAAGGTGGTGTTCCACGGTCAGTAACTGAGACGCATCACAGGCATGGGCCAGAGGCCACAAGCACCCTTCTATCTGTCCCCACGGAGGGCCAGGCCTCGCCCGACCTCTCCTCAAACCAGTTACAGCCCAGGCTGCACCCTCACAGGGCGGGGTCCCTCGTCTGCCCCCGGCCCTCTGGTGACTGGCCGGGTCTCCTTCCTCACACCCCACAGGGGAAGTGGCCGCCACCCGCTGCTGGGGCGAGGACTCAGCCGGCACGTGGGAGGCCTTCCGGCTGCAGGCCGGGCTGTCTTGCCTGCATTCCCGTTTAGCTCCGTGGGGCTCTTGCAGTTTGGGGGCCATTTTGGTCTAGCTGGCTGTAGGGAGGAGCCCCCCAAAGGACCAGCCAGGGTTCTGGAGATCTGCGCATGTCTGGGGCCACGCACCCTGACTGGGGGCTGCAGGCCGCATCCAGAAGGCCCCAGCCCAGCCAGGCATGCAGAAGGATCCCCCTGCTCCCCAAATCAGAAGACTCACCATGGAAGGCTGAGCCCACTGACCTGGCAGCAGGAGGGAGAGCAGAGCGGCTTCTGCGGGGCTTCGTCCACGCCGGCCTGGGCTCTAGAGCGGGCTTCCATGCAAGCAAGGCCTCCTGACCGGCCCAGGAGACGAGGTCGGCGAGCCGACGGCCACAGCCGCAGGGGAGGGAACGTGGCCACGTGCCCGTCCCCCCTGCTGCTGTATGCTGGCCGCTCCCGTCTTCCCTTCCTTCCCTTATCTGCTGACACCCACTCCGATCCCCCAAGACAGACCTCGGGGCAGGCGTGCGGACGGTGTGGGTGCGGAAGGGAATCCGTAGGGGAGAGCGGGAGGCCGGGAGGCACCCACACGTGGATCTGGTGCTAAAGCTCCACGGCCTGTGCCTCTTCGGTGTGCCACGGAACTGCCAGACCTGGGCCCGAGACGGCGGCGTGGGCCGTGGGCCTGTGGGACCCAACGGTCTGGGGATGGAGGGCCGGAACCTTCCAGGTCCTCACCAGCCCACTCCCCTCCTCCCAGGTCGGCAGTGCCAGCCAAACCCGGGGACTCACTCCTCCCTGGACAGGCGACTCCAAAGTTTGAATGGAGACTTTCCAAACATCTGAACTCTGCCCTTGCTGACTTCTTGGGCTCCTTCTGCTCCCTGCCGGGTAGTGACTGTGCTGTTGAAGGAAGTGCCGAGTGGACAGGAATTCTCCACGCTAATTGGCGACCGTGTGCCGGATGCTGACAAAGGCAGTGGCCAAGTCCCACGGGGCGGCCACCCATGGCCAACGAGCAGCCCTGCCATCTGTTACGGGAGCCTCCCGCCCCCCTCCCACCCCGTGAGATGCCTGGCACCCCACTCGCCCCACATGGTGGGGAAGGAGTCAGATGCGCAAGCTGAGAGCGGGGTGGGGGCGCCCAGAGCCTCTGCAGCTGTGGCTGGCGCTGTGGCACCCCCCACCACTGTCTCCTGCCGCCCATGTTCAAACAGAAAGCCCACCTTCCTGCTTAATCATGTGGTCTGATGCCCCCCTGCTGCTCCCATATTGAGAGATCACTCAAGACCAAGTTACACTGGAGAAAGCATTTAGTTAGTGGGCCCAGGGGCTCTGTGTCCACCCACAACCCCACGTGTCTTTAAGACCCCAGAAAGGAACCTTCCCCTGTAAGCCCACCCTCCTCCAAGCGGGGTCACAGGGTGTGCCGAGGGCCTGGGCCTGCGTCTGGGGGGCTGGGGGACCGCGGCCAGGCTTCCGTGGAGCCCAGCAAACCCCAGGCAGCAGGCTGAGCACATTACAAAGGGTAGTTAGCGCTGGACTGGAAGTCACTAAGCAGGAGACACAACAGAGCCATGGCAGGCCACGGCAGTCAGAGGAGATCGGCTCGAGGAGAAAAGCTTCTTAGAACGGCTTTTTCTTCTAAACCCTGGCCGAGTAGTAGGGTCTGGGGGTGAAACACAGCAAGCCCTGAACTATCACGACCGCGCTGCGAAGCCCCAGTTTCGAGTTCCTGACCCTGGCCGGCAGGAGGGCCGCCGTCCCCACGGCCCGGCTAACCAGTGGTGATTCAGGGGCGGGCTCAGCCCAACTGGAAGCTGCTGCGGACTTCCAGATACATTTACAGACTTATGAACAGGAAATTAGCAGGTGGCAAAATATTTCCTCGTCAGCCTCCCAAGCTTAACGGCTGGATATGTTTCAGGAATGACAGGTTAATAACTCAGGAATTCGAGTGATTATTAACTCCAGTGTCCTCGGATTGATTTGCTCATTGTGTATTTTGTTGAACTTCCTCCGAGGATTTTCCTTGTCAGACCAGGTGCCATGATGAGCCATCTGTGCCTCATTTCGGAGCTGTGCACAGAATCTCTCCGCTCCAGCCCAGGCTTAACCGTACAAAACTAAGGAAGGAAAATTACAGCGTCAAGAGGGATTAAAACAAGTGATTTGCTGTTTGAGCATTTCAAAAAGATCTGGAACACCTATGATTCAGCAAATGGACAATAACTAAAAGAAAGAAAAAATCATTTAGTTGCCAGGGCAATGTGTTCCATAAAAGTAAACACTCTTCGGAAACCCACTTCGTAAAGGGTGCCTCCAGGTCATAAAGGCCCAATGGATCCTCCCACACTTGAGCTCGGGTGCCGAGGTATTCCGACACGGGCCGTCTGCCGCTGCCTTCTGTCCCCTTTGCCCGGGTTAGATTAGAGAGGTAGGGTGTTAATGGTGGACTTGATGAAGACTAAAGACCCATTTTCTCTCCCTGGAGACTAGCCTAATTTGAACAAATTGAGGAGAACAAAGCAGCCCCTTTCTGTCCTTGGGAGAAAGCCTGTTCTGTGTCCGCGTTTTTGCAGTCCAGTCTGCCCCTCCCGGCAGGGGAGGGGGACGGTCAACAGAGATCCCTCCTGGGAGGACGCCCATCCTGGCCCCCTGCCCTCGGGGCCCACCCACGCCTCCACGTCGTTGGCGCCCCCTTTACTGGTGCTGCCGGTTGGGGGAGCGAGAGGCGGAGCCAGGGCTGGAAGGCAGGGAGCTGCCGCTGGGGGCCTGCAGGGCGTGGGGCTCGAACTGCGGGCCGGCCAGGCTGGGCTCCCCTGGCCCCGACTCCTCGCTGCTTTCCTCCTTCTGGCTGCTCTGCTGCTCTGGACACTCAAAGTGGACACAGTGGAACACCTGGCGAGAGAGAGCAAAGGGCCAGTGAGCGACAGTGGCCGTCCCACCGGGAGGCAGCCGAAGTCCTTCGGGGCCCCACGGACCCGGGGCAGCGATGAGAAGGTGGGACAGAAGTAAATGGGCTGATGGTCTGTAAGTTACAGGCAGTATGACATGGCTTCCTATAAAATGTCCTCATGGGGGCGCCTGGGTGGCTCAGTTGTTACCATCAGCTCAGGTCATGATCCCAGGGTCCTGGGATCGAGCCCCACATCGGGCTCCCTGCTCAGCGGGAAGCCTGCTTCTCCCTCCCCCGCTCCCCCTTGCTTGTGTTCCCTCTCTCACTGTGTCTCTGTCTGTCAAATAAATAAAATCTTAAAAAAAAAAAATGCCCTCACTGGATTATTCCATTTCGGGTTATTCTTGTCATACGAGCTCTTCGGTTTTAATTAATTAATGAATCTTGCTTTTGGCAGTTGGGTTGAAGGTCAACAGGGGTTTCCTGTGGTGACGGCCGCACAACTCTGTGCTAAACCACTGCATCATAGTGAGTTGTACAGTATGCTAGTTTATATGTCAATAAAGTTGATATTAAAAAATAAAAAGCCAGCAGGGCATCACCCTGGGGGAGGACCAGGCTTATCTCCAAGGGTCCAAGCTAGTCCCTCCCTCTGCAGCTCTTCCTGGGCCCCGGGGAAGGGACCGGCTCCTGAGGCGTGATTCCGGGCTGGGCAGCAGTGCGGGGCAGGGGGCTTCACCCTGACCCCGACGCGGTCTGGGCCAATCCGGGACGCACACCGTGTGTGGACGAGCCGGCCACCCCCAGGAGCCGAGAGGCGCTCGCCACAGCCCCTGAGTCCCTGGGGCAGCTGCCTGAGCTCTGTGCCGGGCCAGCTATGGCGTGGACGGGGCGCGGCTCAGAGCTCAGCGGACCATGGTGTGGGTGTGGGTGTGAGCCTGACACGCCCGGCGTGGAACAGAAGGGCACGTGGTGTGTGAGTGGGGGGAGGGAACGAGGGACAGCCAGGAACTCCGTCCGAGGTGGGCCTGCAGAGAAGCTGGCCTGCCCTCCCCGGCACACACGGAAATTCCTTTGTGCACCAACTACCAGGTCCTTCTGGGGTTCCAGCTCCCTGGGGTCGGCCCCGAACTCTCTGAAGGGGAAGAGTCACCACCTCCTCCGCAGCCGTGGTCTTTGGTGCGGGGTTTGCCGAGCCATTTCCCAGGGAGCACGCTGACAGTTTTCAGGAATTCACTTCCAGAGGCTCAGCATCTGTATTTGCTAAGCTGCCTGCGAACGTGGCTGAATTCGCAACACCCCGCCTCCCCTCACGGAAGGAGAGCGCAGGCCTGCCCTGCCCTCAGCATCCGGGGGGGCCCCCCCGCGAGAGCGGGCCTCCACCCCAGGGAGGTGTTCGAATCTAGAACTGAGGTGTACTCCTGACTCCTGTGACTTTTTAAACATAACTGGAATTTCTTCCAGAATTAAAACATTTTCAAGATACACTGGCTAAAACCCATGAGTAAAAGTTCCGCACGATGACTTTCAGATTTGGTGTGCCTTATTCAATGAGTGGGTTTAAATCGATTTTAGTGAATCACGTCATCAAATATTTATTCCTAATAATTGGTTCCTCCTCTTCCATCTTATAAAAATGTGTATTTTTTTTTACCTCGTATTTATAAAAATAATTGTACTTCAACTTAATATTTTACTTTTCAACCTTAAATGTTCAAAGAATTACTTATACTTCTTTCCCAAGTTCTTTCAAGGGACCAGCAAAACCTTGAAGGCCACTGCCGCTGCCCTTAGGAGACTCTAAGCCCTCAAGGGAGTGCTTTTAAAAGTTAATAGGCACAGCCTAGAGGAAGGAGGGGCATTTCGGGGTTAGAAGTGTTCCAGGCAGGTTAACAACATGGGTGAAGACCTCAGGAGGAAAGAGCCCACTGGTGTCTGAGGGAAAGATTCAAGTCAGTGGAGCTGGCGAAGGCCTCTGCGGAGGAACACTCCAGAACCTGCTCATCCCATGAACACCGACTGGGCACTTCCCGCGGGGCCGAGCCTGCACATCAGCTCCAACAACAAAGACTCTGGCCTCAAAAGTGCACAGGCCGCTGATGAGGTGCAGGGATGTTTGGGGAGATTCATCCGGCCATGAGGGCAGGGCGGCCTGCAGATGGAGGACAGTGTGGTCAGCTCCGGGCCAACGGTGTTGTCCTCAACAAGGGGTGAGAGCTTTGGGTGGGAGGTCACAGAGGCCAAGGGGAGGAGCTACGGTCCGTGACGTGATTCAGGAGAAACACACATCCACCCTGGCTACTTGTTAGAGGTGAAGTTCAGCAAAGTGGGACAAATCCGGAGGGCTCCCAAACTTCTGGGATGAGCCGGCACAGGAGGCTGGAGCCCAGGTGGCCGGGGGTGAGGGGTGCGCAGGAAGGGCCGCACAGGCTCACTGGGGCAAGGGAGGCGTGTGAAGAGGGGCCTGGCGGTAGTGGATCCCAGGAAGAGGCAGGGGCAGTGATGGGGAGGCTGGAAGCCTCAGCTGGAATGGGGTTTAGGGGTGAGTTCCACTTCCTGAGGGGCCCGATGGCTCAAGAGTTTTAAACAGACCGGTGTGCTGGACTGGAGGGATGGAGGCTGGGGGTGTGGCGGGGGGACCGCTGGGCAGAAGCCCAGCTGCTGGACCAGAGCCTCCTGGACAGACAGCTGGTAGGGCCCTGGCTCCCCAAACGGTACTACCTAATCCCCGGCTTTCTCCCTTTCGTCTCCAGGCTTCTGCTAAGTAAGATGGTGAAACTGGCAAAGCTCTCGGTGAACTTGGGTACAAATGCTGAGTGTGCCTGGTTTGTAGTGATATTTGCACTGGCTGGTGGGTGCCTGGAGCCTGCGTGGACAGCCACGAAAGGCAGGCCATGTGGCCCAGGGGCATGGCACCTTCCCGGCCCATGAGGGCGGGACACACTGCCCCCCCTGCCCCCCACCCCGGGCCACCCAGTGCTTCCAGGACAGCGGCCATTCCCACCCTGCTCCCTTTTTTCCGCCGGCCTACTGGCCGAGAGGGGCCGCTCAGCTTCGATTCTGCCCGTGTGGCGAGTCTGCTGCTGGATAAGGGCCTGTCTGTAGGCACAGGTGCCCTGGGAGCGGGCAGGACGCAGGGCAGGGCTGGTGGGCACCGGCTCCTCTCGCTGAGGGGGGCGGCACAGCTGTGGCCGACAGTTGCAGGGGGTGGGGGTGGGGGGCCAAGGAACCGTCCTCCTTCGTCCCAGGGGCTCTGTGGCCACCATGGCTCAAGCAGGCGCACCGCGCACACACACACACAACCTTCCACTGTAGAATCGGTTCACAGAGGAGAAGACATGTAATGGCAACTGTGAGATTATAGTTAAATTATAAATTCCCTGCTTACCTTCCTGCATCACTATCTTCCCCGTATTCCCACCTCAATTCATTTATCTACCGCTGTTTTAAATTTCGCATCTCAAACTCTAATATGAAGACTAATGGAGGCCATGTGTCTTCAGGTCTGTCCTGTTCGTTTTGGCAGAGCCGGGTTCCTTGGAGGGAGCGGATTTCTCTCCTTGAAGCTCAGGGGGCCCTGTTCTCACCATGGTGCTTCCTGGGGGCCTCGCGGTGCCAAGTCACCCCCATCCTCCTCCCTTTTCCTTTCTTCCCTTCCTTTCTGCCGTTAGAGCAAATCTCCCTGTTTGGGCCCATCTGCAGGTGCTTACCTGGCAAGAGCCCGACGGGAGGGCTGTTGTGATTCTGACCTGTCTGGGCCATCAGCTCTGACCTGCACCACGCAGGGCAAACCTGGACATCTGAGCGGCCGCTATTAATCTCTTCTTCTCCATCAGTTTAATGTTCTTTAAGCTTTTCAAGTGACAAGACCATCTTCGGGCAGGTTAGCGACGGCCTCTCTGGCCTTATGAGCACTCTTCTTTCTAAGCGCAGGTGGGGCTGTCGGGGGCACACCAGGCCAGCCCCCCAAAACACCCCTCCACTGCCTGGAGCCCCACCCGCACCCTCTCTCAAGCCCCTCCCTGGAACTTCTCGCAAGCCAACAGACACCCTGTTCTCTTTCCCAGTCCAGTCTGGTCACACTCTGTCCCCAGAGCCCACGTCTCCACCCTCTGACAGGGAAATGTGCACACCCTGTCCTTACTGCACCTGCCCCATCTCTGACCCTGAGTCCTTAGCCTGCCCCATCAGGCTCTCTAGCCCGTTATTTGTGCAATCCTGCAGCCTGCGCTCTCGGCTCATAGCTCCGGAGACTATTCCTCAGGCCCTGGGGCTGATGGTCATCCGTGCATTGACTGATGCTTGCCCAGTCCTCATTACCTTCCCTCTGTATGGAAGGGGTTTCTACCCCTGTGCGCCTGCGAGCTTCTCTGTGCCCTTAATTTCTGGGCAAGCTCTTGCCCCACAGGCCCTGCGAGGCTTCAGGCCTCCTGCCCCCAAAGCCTGGCCCACTCCTGCCTCTGTCTACCCATCTCAGCAACCTTGGGACTCAAGGACCAACGCATGGTTGTCCCTTCTCCCACGCAGGCCTTGCACAGGAATAAACATATCACTGTTTCAATTCTGGATTGAAAAATAAACTTAAAAAGCTCTCTGTGGGGCCAGGCACTATTGGCTGGCCCTTCAGAATGTGCCTTTCATCTCGGAAAGGGTCCCATCAGCGTCCCTACTCTGAGGGGCAGGGGGCTTCTGCTCTGCACGGCACTGGGAAGGCCTGGGAGGACTGTCTGTAGTGGGCACCTAATAAATGCTCGCTGGCCTGCCTCTTACTGCCCTCCTTCCCACTGTCATTCCCACTTCCAGCCTGCATTTCTCTCTTCCCTAACTTGGGTGATGTGAACGGCACAACCGTCTTTAGCCCATTTAACCAACCTGCTTTAAAATAATAGTGCAAATGGCTGTTAGTCCCCACACAGCCAGCAATAGTGCCCATGAATCTCTGCGGGCTGTTTTCATGTACCGCTAGGGCTGTCCCTCCTGAGAGAGCCTAGGCACAGCTCCC